AATTCACATTTTAATATTTTACTGTGAGATGGACAATTAAGAATCAAATCACGGAGTATCTGAAATTAGTAAGGGGTTTCTAACAAAGTGCAGAAGTATTGTGTAAGCAACAGCTCCATAACAAGAATAGCAATGTACAGTGAGACATTTAAGATTATTATTATAGGCATTACTTTTACAAATCATTGGAATGGAATTTAAAATATATATTGATACAAATATTTTTCTAGTGGGCTAATCTATTAGTCTGCATTTACACTGCGTGTATCAATTTTGACATGCCATATTTTTTTCCAGTGCTAGAATCACTGTCTATCACAGCTTCAAAGGGAATCATGCATTTATATGAATGTCACTTCCAAAACTCTGCAGCGTGCAATTGTCTGTCAGTCCTTTAGCACCATGAAAAACAATTCTTTTAGTCAAAGGATTATAGCTATATAGCCTGTACAGTGCAAAAGACCGTTCACTTCATTCACTAAAAAACTGTCACTCATCTCAGTTCGTGATTTTAAAACGTTCTATTAAAATCAATAAATTTGTCTACACTGCATAATGAATCTCTTACGTGTCATTATTTGTTTTTGAGAGAGAATATTGGCGAGAGCAAGCATAACTAATCACTTGACAAAATCTCCGGCCGGCGTTTTGTGCAGTGAGTGGATTCTAACTTAAACACCTCTTATTGGCCATTGTGTTCAAGAGCTCAACAAACATATCTGTGATTGGCTACATTTCTCACCGCTGCAAAAACATGCTGTAAATAGGAATATTTCACGTTCTCCAGAGCTCAAACTCAAAAATGCAATGGAGCATTTGTTAAATCTGTTTTGGCAGTGATGTTATATTATTACAGTATCAGCTGGGGTGATCTTGCTTTTGTTTCAGGGTACTTATATTTAAAATTGACTTTTTTTTACCCATGTTTTAATTTTTGTAACAAAATTATTTGTGATCAAATATTAATTGACGGACCACCTGCAATACTGCTGCGGAGCCCAGGTTAAAGACCCTAGCGTTAATGTGATATGATATTGCTTCTACATTAAATGAAATGAATATAAAAGCGTATATGTTTAACATAACTAATTGAACTTACCAAAAATGGATTAATGTCTCTAATCTTCAATCACTGTTGTACGGAAGTTCTGAGCGGCCAGTCGTTATAATGAGAAAACAAGAAGGAAAAAAAAAAATAGTGCATGGCCGCTTAGAACTTCCGTACTGTTGTACCGGATTTTAAACTTGAATGAAGCCGGATTAAAAAAAAAAAAAAAAAAGGCTGATAAATGTTATAATGTAATGTGTTATGATGTCACTTTTACATTAAATGAAACAAATATAAGAGGTTATTCTAACATTATCATTAATGTTAGAATACCAAACAATTATTTGGTAAGTTCAATTCTTCGCGATGGCGCCGACATTGATGGCTGCCTCTGTTGCGTGCTCCGCAGTTGTTTTTGTTTTTGTTAATTTGTCCCATCTTTAGTTATATCCCTGCAATCAGTTTCACCAGAGACGAATTGTTGGACATTCGGAAGTACACACCACCCGATATTTCACCGGTTTTTGATTATTCTGATGTTTTGCTGGACATTGTAGTCGGGGGAGCTGCGGCGCTGGTCAAACGCTTCAGGATGCGCAGATGGGGGAAGCGAGCTGGCGCGCTCGTGAAGCTCAGGCAGCGCGGATTCAGGACGCCGTTGCCTAGCATCCATCTGGCGAACCTCCGCTCTCTACCCAACAAAACGGACGAACTCCTTCTGCTCTCCTGGACAAATAAGGATTTTTCAAACTCTGCTGCTCTGTGTTTCACGGAAACCTGAAAACTGTGGAGATGACCGTGGACTTCAGGAGAAACCCCCCTGCACTCCCCCCACTCACCATCATGGACAGCACTGTGACTGCAGTGGAGTCATTCAGGTTCCTGGGTACCACAATCTCTCAGGACCTGAAGTGAGACACTCACATAGACTCCATTGTTAAAAAGGCCCAGCAGAGGTTGTACTTCCTTCGCCAGCTGAGGAAGTTCAACCTGTCACAGGAGCTGCTGAAACTGTCCTCTGCACTTCTATAACTGTCTGGTTCAGCTCAGCTACCAAATCTGACCTCAGAAGACTACAGAGGGTAGTCCGTACTGCTGAGCGAATCATTTGTACAACCCTCCGTTCTCCAAGAACTGTACTCATTCAGAGTGAGCAAAAGGGCTAGCAAAATCACTCTGGACCCCTCACATCCAGCACACTCCCTCTTTGAACTGTTGCCATCTGGTCGACACTACAGAGCTCTGAGCACCAGAACGGCCAGACACAGGAACCGTTTCTTCCCTCAGGCAGTCCATCTCATGAACACCTGACAATAACTGTGGAACACACACTATATTTACTCATACACTTATTTATCTAACACTAGGGATGGGCGATATCTTATCGTTTGCGATATACCGGTACAAATTCTCCACACGATAAGAATTCATCTTCCCGCGATAATAACGATAAAATCTAGTTGTTGACATATTTCTGTGTACGACTGTGTGGAGTGGCCTAAAAGGAAGGCAGACGTGAAATTGAGCAGCTCCTTCTACAATCTGGAACAGGTTTGGGTAGGGCTGTACAGTGCGACAAAAATCGGTCTGAGCCTTGAGTAAATGTACTACAGTAGCACGTGTGCGACACAGTTTTACATGTGAATGAGTCGTTTACAAACCTGTTGTCCAACAAAGATATTTTAATTTATTGACATGCTTTTTCTCCATATTAACTTCATAACATAGTCGAGTGTTTGAAATAACTTATTTTTGTGATCAGACGTGGTTTCGTATCACAGAATAAGTCGTACTATTTTATAGCATTATATACAGTGACAAAGGCTATGTCGATTAGCATTGCATTATAAATATACTTTATCCTTATAAAAAATACCCAAGATTACTTGAAGAACACAGATACCATACATTTTGTGCAATCGCATGTTTATTGTCTTCAGGTTTCCTCAGTTAAAATTTCTTTATCTGCGTTTTATTCAGCTACAGCGATCACTGGATACTTCTTCCTGGAGCATTACTTCTGCTATGCATATGGAGTTTCTGCACAAGGGCGCCCTCCGGCTTCCAGTATGGAAGTGTGTACTCCGTAATGCTCACAACACCCTATTTTTGGGTAAAAATAGGAAAGGTAATACTTTTCTCTAAAGCAGTGGTCGCCAACCCGTCGATCGTGATCGACTGGTAGATCTTTATCACTGTCCCAGTAGATCCCGAAAAAAAAACAGTAAAATAAGTACAAAAATGCATTACATTTATAGGGTTATATTAATCTATCACTGAAGGGTACGGTCTTGAGAAAAGTTTCGATGGCAATGATATTTTCTTCTCTGTATAAAGCGCAACTCTGCTTTGTTTACAGCGGTAAACAAGGAAACGCTATAGTGCGGTCGGTTCATCAGTGTTGCCAAGTCCGCGGTTTTCCCGTGGAATTGGGCTACTTAACACTGTTCCCGCGGGTTGTTGTTCATGTCCGCGGGTTGAAGCGACCCCAATAATGTGATATTTAATCCCTGGAATGTGAATTTTACAGGGGAACCCTCCTCGAAACGTGATTGGACTAGTTTTATTGCGAAAACCTGGCAACCCAGTGCTCTGATGAGTGCGTCTCGTTCAGACCTGCTGTTTTTGTTTCGTGCAGATGTTTTATGTAGCAATAAATAACACCTAAAGTCAGACCATTCTGTTTTTGTTTTAAATCCTGAAATTAATCTAAATCAAACAAAAACAACTGCCCGTGCAGATCATGATTAAAATGCAGTGGTTGCCTCTTATTTCAAATGGCTAGATATTTTTGTTTAAAGCCAGTTTGTTTGTTATAAAGCAAATAGCCAATAAATTAATTTACTTAAATATCAGTATCAGAATCCAATTTGCTAGTTAAAAAAAGGGAAGAAAGAAAATCTGAATTCTGAAGCAGCTATGATCGGCGCATCACTAATTAAAATACGAAGTAAAAGGCCTCAAATTTGAAGTACAATCTGGGATGTCTTTTTCTATCAATTCTTCAATAGGTAGATCTTGTCTTTCATAAAGGCTGAGGTCAGGGATTTTGGGACTAAAAAGGTTGGTGACCACTGCTCTAAAGAAACAGGATTTCCAAAATTATCGTCATTGATATCTTTATCGCAATAAATATCAGACATTATCGTGATATATTTTTAAGCCCATATCGCCCATTCCTATCTAACACACTTACTCAGTCTACATTTCAATTTGCACATAATATACCTGTACATACAATTGTCGATTTGTATATTTTTATTTCTTATTTACTTGTTCTATTTTTAATTTATTTAAAAAATTTTATTATCTGTGTTTTTTTGTTCTGTCACTGTCATTCTGTTACACTGTGGAAGCTTCTGTCACGAAAACAAATTCCTCGTATGTGTAAACATACCTGGCAAGAAAGCTCATTCTGATTCTGATCAAATTAAATGAACTTACCAAAAATTATGAATAATGCCTCCAATCTTCAGTCATTGGTCAATCGTGCAGCTCCAGATTTCAAAGTTGAATGAAGCTCACACAATCCCATAATGCCCATCACCAGTAAGTTATTATAAAAACGCATGAGCTACAGTAACACCTCCTTTTTGCAAGCAGTTCTATGGGCTGCCATAGACTCACAACCAGAAGAAGTGTTTCTTTAGCACTGAATGAACATATTAGGATGATTTCTAAAGTATTATGTGACACGTAAAAACAGGAGCTTTACCATTACACAAATTCCCTTTTAAAACATTAAAATTAAAGTTATTGTTAATTGTAGTAATATTTCACAATATTTCAGTTATTTGAGCATAAGGGACTTCTTTCAAAAACATTTGAGAATTGAATTATTCCATGCTTTTGTACATTCAATTAAAGGAAGTGACAGAATATAAAACGGAAAATAGCTGTTAGCAATCATTTATATTGCTTTTTTTTTTTAATTCTTTTTTTTCCCCCTTAGCCCTTGTCACAACACAATCTGTCATACATGGAAGCGCATTCAACATTTCTGGATCAAGTTCAGAGAGAGCTATGCAAAGGACTGGAAAGGTAAGTCATTTGTTTGAAAGGATATACAATATGCTCACTTAAGACAATACAATCAATAGTTCTTATTCATGACAGTTGTAAATGATTCAATTTGCACATAATATACCTGTACATACAATTGTCGATTTGTATATTTTTATTTCTTATTTACTTGTTCTATTTTTAATTTATTTAAAAAATTTTATTATCTGTGTTTTTTTGTTCTGTCACTGTCATTCTGTTACACTGTGGAAGCTTCTGTCACGAAAACAAATTCCTCGTATGTGTAAACATACCTGGCAAGAAAGCTCATTCTGATTCTGATCAAATTAAATGAACTTACCAAAAATTATGAATAATGCCTCCAATCTTCAGTCATTGGTCAATCGTGCAGCTCCAGATTTCAAAGTTGAATGAAGCTCACACAATCCCATAATGCCCATCACCAGTAAGTTATTATAAAAACGCATGAGCTACAGTAACACCTCCTTTTTGCAAGCAGTTCTATGGGCTGCCATAGACTCACAACCAGAAGAAGTGTTTCTTTAGCACTGAATGAACATATTAGGATGATTTCTAAAGTATTATGTGACACGTAAAAACAGGAGCTTTACCATTACACAAATTCCCTTTTAAAACATTAAAATTAAAGTTATTGTTAATTGTAGTAATATTTCACAATATTTCAGTTATTTGAGCATAAGGGACTTCTTTCAAAAACATTTGAGAATTGAATTATTCCATGCTTTTGTACATTCAATTAAAGGAAGTGACAGAATATAAAACGGAAAATAGCTGTTAGCAATCATTTATATTGCTTTTTTTTTTTATTCTTTTTTTCCCCCTTAGCCCTTGTCACAACACAATCTGTCATACATGGAAGCGCATTCAACATTTCTGGATCAAGTTCAGAGAGAGCTATGCAAAGGACTGGAAAGGTAAGTCATTTGTTTGAAAGGATATACAATATGCTCACTTAAGACAATACAATCAATAGTTCTTATTCATGACAGTTGTAAATGAAAATACTTTCACATTAATTTTATTTTTAAAAGTAAGCATATGCTGGTGCCAATAGCCTCGTGGGCAGCACGTTGACGTATAGTGCCGTTGCGCTTCAGGCGTCCCGTGTTTGGGTCCTTGCTTGTGGACCTTTCCAATCCCACCCTCTCCTCTCTCTCTCTCTCCCCCACTTTGCTTCCTGTCTAAATACTGTCCTGTCATAATAAAAATGGCAAAAACCATTTTTTTTATACTCACTTTAATAAAGTAAACCGTAAACGCATCTACTCTTGTAAACTTGCACTGTGCTGCCTATTGATCTTTGAGCCGAGTGGATAAACCAGGGTTCCCACGGGTCATGGAATTTCTGGAATATCATGGAATTTTAAAAGGTCTATTCCAGACATTGAAAGTCAGGGAATTTATTATTTTTTTTTGTCCAAGTCGTCATGTTGAAATATCTAATGTAAATGTTCAAATAAAGCTTTGAAAAGTTTAATAAAAAGGTCAACCTCACATTTCAGCCTTTAAATAAAGAAAAAATGTCAAAATGATAATTGATTAATAAATGATTATGTATTTTATCTGCTCCATAAATAATTCTAGATAACTTAACTAAATTGTTTAAATGTGTAGAATCCACAAACTTGTTTTTCCATCTACCGGTCAAAATTTACAGCAGGGCATGCAAATCCGATCTGTTTTTTGGCCAGACAGAAACTGCATACAGACTGAATGTAAATATAAGTCTCTGTAAATCCACTCTCTGACACTAGGTGGTGCTTATGGAAAAGCTGAATTAGAGCTGTTTCCCGTAACCTCCGTGGACAAAGCAGTATTGCTGATTAAAAACACTTAGGTATTACATGGAGCGAAAATTAAAACAAAATGCCATCGAATCGTTTCTGAAGACAGTCAGAACCTTCAGAGGTACAATCATTTAATTAATTCAAATATTCATTTGTATAATTCCCTTAGCACTCTTTTAAAACCTAGCTTTTCCACCCTGCTTTCACTCAAAACGAAACTACTCTGCCTGCTGTCTGCACGTGAGACTGTTACTTAAAACTGTGCTTTATGCTGGACAGTATTTATTTATCGTTGAGTTGTTCAAATCGTGGTAATCTAATACGGTTTTAATGATAATTTAAATATGAAACGGTAATACTAACCGTGGGGAATTTTATCATAATTTATCGTCAAACCGGTAATCGTTACATTTGCATTTGTCACTTTAAATTTTAGTTTCCATTTATCAAAATGTAATTTTTCTATACCGTTTTTTTTTTTTAATCACATTGTTTCACGCGTTTTGCCTATTGTTATGATTAGGGTACAGGGCTCGACAATAAGGAGTGCTCGGGACAGTTGATGGATTTGTCACTTGCCCGATTGGGCCACTGCTGCATCGTCATGAAAGTTTAAAATTTGCATGTGTTTTTAAGCCTTGTTAATTTAAAAATTCAAGCGATTTAAAAGCATTCGGGCACAAAAGACAACTACATTCACTACTCGCGTGCTGTGTTCTGAGTGAACAGCCCACGCACAGACAGCCACTTCTCTGACACGCACGAGCCCTGAATTGAGTTTTCTTTCTGCGCCTGAATGCAATGGGCAAATACATACAAAAGTATGTCAAATTACCCGTCTTGGCAAGTAATGGTTAATCTTTATTTAATTTATACAGTGGAGTACAGATGCACTGGTCGACCGGCCATTTTTTAAAATTATTTTAGAGCATCTTCTGTTCCGTGCTTGTACACGAACTACACTTCAATAATTTTTAATAGTAATTATTATAAATAGTCTGTAAACGGCTATTAACAGTGGCCAGAGACGCTGAAGATGGATGCAAAGAGGAGAAAATATTATAGCAGGCAGAACAAGATCACTGTTCATGATGCGCGAAATATAGGAATCCTAAATATTGAATTTTATATAAATGTGTTTTTGAGGGGAACTGGCTGTTTTCAGAAAAGTTTACATGGTTTTGTTAAAGTTTACATTTTCTTTTCATCTTGCCTCTGTATAATGCATTTAAATTAGTGTTGATACCTCAGCTCTGCTGTGTTTATATTAGTAACCAAGGAAACGCTGTATTAGTCAAGTCACCTTGACTAATTTCATTTATATAGCGCTTTTAACAATACAGATTGTGTCAAAGCAACTGCACAGCATTAATTAGGAAAATTGTGTCATTAATGCAAACTTACAATGGTAAACACTCAATTTTCAGTTAAAGGCAGTTCATCATTGAATTCAGTGATGTCATTATCCAGCTCAGTTCAGTTTAAATACTATCTGTGCAATCAAGTCGACAATATCGCTGGAAATTAAGTGTCCCCAACCAAGCAAGCCAAAAGCGACAGCGGCAAGGAACTAAAAGTCCATCGGTGACAGAATGGAGAAAAAACCTTGGGAGAAACCAGGCTCAGTTGGGGTCAGTTCTCCTCTGGCCAGACGAAAACCAGCACTTCAAATCTAGGCTACAGCAAAGTCACATTAAGCAGAGGACTCAACTGGTTCCTGTGGTCTTGTTCCGGTGGCCATCTAGGAGACAAGGTCTTTACTGGGGATCTGTCTCTGGGGCTCATCTAGTTGTCCTGGTCTCCGGTCATGCCATTCTTCTAACGATGTAGCAAGTACATCGGGTGTTATGGGAAGTGTTCCCGGTTCCGGTTGTCCTAATTAATGCAGCCTAACAATCCTTTTACGGATTTGAATATTAGAAATGTGTTCATGTGTTATGTGTAAGCCAGGTTAAAGAGATGGGTCTTTAATCTAGGTTTAAACTGACAGAGTGTGTCTGCCTCCCGAACAATGTTAGGTAGATTATTCCAGAATTTGCAATAATTCCAAATTATAAATAGGAATTAGGATCTAAAATAGGAAAAGGATCTGCCGCCCGCAGTTGATTTTGATATTCTAGGTATTATTAAATTGCCAGAGTTTTGAGAACGCAGCGGACATGGAGAACTATAATGCAATAAGAGCTCATTCAAATACTGAGGTGCAATATTCAGGGCTTTATAAGTAATAAGCAAGATTTTACAATCTATACGATATTTAATAGGGAGCCAGTGCTGTGTTGACCGAACCGGGCTAATATGGTCATATTTCCTGGTTCTAGTATGAACTCTAGCTGCTGCATTTTGGACCAGCTGGAGTTTGTTTATTAAGCATGCAGAACAACCACCCAATAAAGCATTACATTAATCTAAACTTGAGGTCATGAACGCATGAATTAACATTTCTGCATTTGACATTGAGAGCATAGGTCATAATTTAGATATATTTTTAAGATGGAAAAATGCAGTTTTACAAATACTAGAAACGTGGCTTTCGAAGGAAAGATTGCTATCAAATAGCACACCTAGGTTCCTAACTGATTATGAAGAATTGATAGAGCAGCCATCAAGTGTTAAACAGTGTTCTAGGTTATTACATGCAGAGTTTTTGGTCCTATAATTAACACCACTTTTTTTCAGAATTTAGCAGTAAGAAATTACTTGTCATCTAGTTTTTTATATCGAATATGCATTCTGTTAGTTTTTCAAATTGGTATCTTTCGCCGGGCAGTGAAGAAATATAGAGCGGAGTATCATCAGCATAACAGTGAAAGCTAACACCATGTTTCCTGATGATATATCCCAAGGGTAACATATAAAGTGTGAAAAGTAACGGTCCTAGTACTGAGCCTTGAGGTACTCCATACTACATAATTAACTAGTTCTTTGGGGTCAAGTTGAAGTTTTTTGATGAGAGGCTTAATAACAGCCAGTTTGAAGGTTTTGGGGACATATCCAAGTGACAATGACGAATTAATAATAGTCAGAAAAGGATCTATGACTTCTGGAAGCACCTCTTTTAGGAGCTTAGATGGAATAAGGTCTAACATGTTGTTGGTTTAGATTATTTAACAAGTTTATACAACTCTTCCTCTACTATAATAGAGAATGAGTGGAAGTTTTCCACAGGGGATCTATAGCACACTATCTGATGTGATACGGTAGCTGACGGCCGCATGGTTACAATTTTATCTCTAATAGTATCGATCTTGGAAGTAAATGAGTTCATAAAGTCATTACTGCTGTGCTGTTGGGAAATGTCAACACCTGTTGATGCTTTATTTTTCGTTAAGTTAGCCACTGTATTGAATAAATATCTGGGGTTATGTTTTTCTTCTAAAAGAAACGAAAAGTAACCAGATCTAGCAGTTTTTAATGCTTTTCTATAGGATGGGGTACATTCCTGCCAAGCAATACGAAATACCTCTTGTTTGGTTTTCCTCCAGCTGTGCTCTATTTTCTGAGCTGCTCTCTTTAGGGTGCGAGTGTGCTCATTACACCACAGTGTCAAACTGTTTTCCTTTATCTTCCTTAAGTGTAAAGGAGCAACCGTATCTAAAATGCTAGAAAAGAGAGAGTCCAGTTTCTGTTACATCATCAAGTTGTACTGAGGTTTTGGAAATGCTAAGGAATTGAGATAAATCAGGAAGTTTACTTACAAAGCAGTCTTTTGTAGTAGAAGTGATGGTTCTACCATACTTGTAACAAGGAGTAGAATTTACAGTTTTAACTATATGAAGTTTGCACAAGACTAGATAATGATCTGAGATATCATCGCTTGGCTGCATAATTTCAACACCATCAACATCAATTCCATGTGACAGTATTAAATCTAGAGTATGATTTCAACAATGAGTAGGTCCTGACACGTGTTGTCTAACCCCAATAGAATTCAGAATGTCTATAAATGCTAATTCCAATGTATCTTTTTCATTATCAACATGGATATTAAAATCACCAACAATTAAAACTTTATCTGCAGCCAGTACTAACTCTGATATAAAAATGATTTAATAAAGTCTGTGTGGTGCCCTGGTGGTCTGTATACAGTAGCCAGTACAAACATCACAGGGGATTTATCATTAACACTTGTTTTTCTGGATAATGTTATATGAAGCACCATTACTTCAAACGAGTTATACTTGAAGCCCGCCCTCTGAGAAATACTGAAAATATTGTTATAAATTGTAGCAACACCTCCCCCTTTACCTTTTGGACGTGGTTTGTTTATAACAGTAATCTTGGGGGAAAGACTGTGTAGCGAATCAGCTCATGGGGAAATATTAATAATTAATCATAACTAGTTATAATTAATTAAATATTTAGATCCGCTGTAAATCAATAAATCAGTAAATCAATATTTACTTGATCTCTCAGGGTCAACTGTCTGTCAATTCTAAGAACGTTAATTTCCTGGTTAAGGGAAATAACTTTCTTACTGTACAATTCTACACAGAGCTTGAAGCATAAATCTGCATTATTAAGTGACTCCAGTTATGAGCAAACAATGAACAACGTCAAGTGTGATGCAAGTAAGACTTTATTAACTACATAAACTAGTCTAACATACTACATAAACACTTAAACTGGTCTAACATACACATACACACATACAGTTTGTATAGGAAAGGGTTAAAGCTTAACGCAGAAAAGGTGCAAATGATACCTAATGTATCAATTAATAAGACTAAATTTGAATACTTGCATGTCTCATCTGTCTGAAAGAGAGGTTTGACGCAATCTGAAGGTCCCAGTTGATCTTTGCTGAAGTTGGTTGATGAAAAAGAACCAGTTTGAGTCAGAGAATCTTGGTGAATGGAAAAGTCAAGGCCGAAGCCTGGCACGTACTTAAGGGGTTGCAGAAGCATTCTAGCTCATGTCTTCATCTTAGAATCTAACCGAACCACCTACTTGTGCGTGTCACTGATGTGGGGCCTTTAAGGTCTCAGAAGATTCCCGCCTCTCAAAATGGGCTTGTCCAATGAGAAAGGCTGACGTCCCAAGCGGGAGGTTGGACATACTGGGGATTTTTATGACCCTTTGTGTGAAAGCTTGGTAATTTGCATATGGAACTTGAATCGAAATTACTAATGATTTTAAGAACACTAATATATTGCCTATGTACCAACATATAATATAAGAACTTGCACTATTGGTGGCTGACTAAATACTTTTTTTCCCCACTGTATATAATTAAATGTTACCTAATTTCTAAATTATTCATAAACAACTCGTGCGAAGCAATTAAAAGAATCAGTCTCTCTAAACCCCTCCTTGTTCCCCCGTGAGCCCTCACTGCTGTGATTGGTCAGATGGCGCAGTCCTTTGTGATTGGTCTACCGCGTACAATGCGTGTCGGAAACGAAATGCCCATTGCCATGACGGAATGACAGCCCTGGAGACTTGTCAATACATAGAAAAGATGGTATCGATTGTACCTTACCAATTCGAGCCAGAGTCTGGTGATGAAACATTTGAAGTTGCTGATCGACAAGAGACTGATTCGCAAGCACGACTGGAGCAGGACGTTTCACAGTGGTAAATGTCAAATGTTAACAAGTTTGTGGTAATTATAATATATGATCAAACAAATTTACTCTCACAGCGACGGGTACAGCGTCTTCTCGACATGATGTTAACCACACGGATATTTTACTGTGTTTGTGGGTGGGCAAGTTGGCGAACGTGTGTGGACTTTATGCAAATGTGTTACTTCGTGACGTACAAGACCACTGATAATCTCCCTTGATCTGGGGCTCCACGCAAGATCTCACCCTGTGGGGTCAAAATGATCACAAGAACTGTGAGCAAAAATCCCAGAACCACACGGGGGGACCTAGTGAATGACCTGCAGAGAGCTGGGACCAAAGTAACAAAGGCTACCATCAGTAACACACTGCGCTGCCAGGGACTCAAATCCTGCAGTGCCAGATGTGTCCCCCTGCTTAAGCCAGTACATGTCCAGGCCCGTCTGAAGTTTGCTAGAGAGCATTTGGATGATCCAGAAGAGGATTGGGAGAATGTCATATGGTCAGATGAAACCAAAATATAACTTTTTGGTAAAAACTCAACTTGTTGTGTTTGGAGGAGAAAGAATGCTGAGTTGCATCCAAAGAACACCATACCTACTGTGAAGCATGGGGGTGGAAATATCATGCTTTGGGGCTGTTTTTCTGCAAAGGGACCAGGACGACTGATCTGTGTAAACGAAAGAATGAATGGGGCCATGTATCGTGAGATTTTGAGTGAAAACCTCCTTCCATCAGCAAGGGCATTGAAGATGAAACGTGGCTGGGTCTTTCAGCATGACAATGATCCCAAACACACTGCCCGGGCAACGAAGGAGTGGCTTCGTAAGAAGCATTTCAAGGTCCTGGAGTGGCCTAGCCAGTCTCCAGATCTCAACCCCATAGAAAATCTTTGGAGGGAGTTGAAAATCCGTGTTGCCCAGCGACATCCCCAAAACATTACTGCTCTATATGAGATCTGCATGGAGGAATGGGCCAAAATACCAGCAACAGTGTGTGAAAACCTTGTGAAGACTTACAGAAAACGTTTGACCTCTGTCATTGCCACCAAAGGGTATATAACAAAGTATTGAGATGCAATTTTGTTATTGACCAAATACTTATTTTCGACCATAATTTGCAAATAAATTCTTTAAAAATCCTACAATGTGATTTTCTGGATTTTTTTTTCTCATTTTGTCTCTCATAGTTGAGGTATACCTATGATGAAAATTACAGGCCTCTCTCATCTTTTTAAGTGGGAGAACTTGCACAATTGGTGGCTGACTAAATACTTTTTTTCCCCACTGTATATAATTAAATGTTACCTAATTTCTAAATTATTCATAAACAACTCGTGCGAAGCAATTAAAAGAATCAGTCTCTCTAAACCCCTCCTTGTTCCCCCGTGAGCCCTCACTGCTGTGATTGGTCAGATGGCGCAGTCCTTTGTGATTGGTCTACCGCGTACAATGCGTGTCGGAAACGAAATGCCCATTGCCATGACGGAATGACAGCCCTGGAGACTTGTCAATACATAGAAAAGATGGTATCGATTGTACCTTACCAATTCGAGCCAGAGTCTGGTGATGAAACATTTGAAGTTGCTGATCGACAAGAGACTGATTCGCAAGCACGACTGGAGCAGGACGTTTCACAGTGGTAAATGTCAAATGTTAACAAGTTTGTGGTAATTATAATATATGATCAAACAAATTTACTCTCACAGCGACGGGTACAGCGTCTTCTCGACATGATGTTAACCACACGGATATTTTACTGTGTTTGTGGGTGGGCAAGTTGGCGAACGTGTGTGGACTTTATGCAAATGTGTTACTTCGTGACGTACAGCCGTAACGGAATAAGACTCAAAGTCCTGATGACTCGTTTAGGTGAATGCGAGCCGACTCTTTTTTATTTTTATTTTTTTTATTTTTTTAATATAGACAGTAAAACAGCTTTGCAGATAGTTTGTTCACATACAGCTACATGACACTGCATGAAAGGTAATATTCGAAAAGGCATAATAGGGGCACTTGAGCTTCATGATGTTGATAATATATCTCACTTTGGAGAAAAATAAAATTATAGCATGACTTTTTGATGTGTATAATTGTACATGCATGTTGTGATTTCAGGTTGTATTCATTTTTGAGCAGAAGCACTCAAGGGCAGCATCAGGCTTCCTTAAATTTCTCCCCAACAAGAATTTTGCAATGTTCTCTCCTGTGGACCATCGGATTCCGAGAGTTAATTTGCCTCTAGCAGACTGTCCTGCAGACTTTGTCTCCAGACCTGGAGACTATGAAAACACACTCTTTATCTGCCGAATAACACACTGGCCAGCAGACAACAACTTTGCTGAAGGGTGAGATCTGGGTTACCAGTAATTTCTCCAAATTATAGGGTATACATTAGCAATCATTCTTCATAAAAGCATTTATCAAAGTTGTTTTTCTCTGGTTCTAGGCGGCTTGCAAAAACGTTAGGGCAAGCAGGTGAAATAGAGCCAGAAACCGAAGGCATCATGACTGAATATGATGTTGACTTCTCCGAATTTTCAGAGGAGGTCTTGAATTGTCTTCCCCAAGATCTGCCCTGGAGCATCCCTGCTCATGAGCTCTCTAGAAGAAGAGATCTCAGGTAACCTACTACCCTTTCCCAACTCTTCAGCACTCCATATTATAACTATAAATTTTTTGTGCTTCATGACTCAATTGAATTTTTCTAAAAATGTGACACTACTTTCCTGGTTTTATTTTCATTTGTTTTTAAGAAAAGAATGTGTATTTACCATCGACCCAGCTACAGCCAGAGATCTAGATGATGCACTATCCTGCAAACAGCTCTCAGATGGTATGTGTGGTTCCTTTGACATTGGAGCTCATTAAAAATTTCATTACACTTACAAAATTCAGCGCTCTGATACAATAAACATTTTTTTCCCCTTTCCTCATGTAGGCAATTTTGAAGTTGGTGTTCATATAGCTGATGTGAGTTACTTTGTGGAGGAGGGAAGTGTCTTGGATCAAATCGCTGGTAAAAGAGCCACAAGTGTTTATCTGGTTCAGAAGGTACAAGTCCAAGTTTGATTTGCACTTGTTGCACCATAAAAACTGATTTGCACTTTTGCACTATAAAAAAGTTACCAAACAATTCCAAGCCCCTTAAAATTTCTTGCTGCAGTGCAAAAGCAATTAATTAGATGTTGCTGTAGGTACCAGCATTTAACTTTTTTTTTGGACTTTAAAGTGTCATGAAACCCTCCTGTTTCAGCATTGGTCTTTCACACCTTAGATTTGGAAAAGACTCCAGAAATGGGCATGTAAAGCAGTGGAAAAGTGGGAGTGAAGAGGGGAGAAAATAGCTAATAAAACACAGACCTAAAACACCACTCATTATACATACAAATGAATATTAAAATATGAGGAAAGAAAGAAAAACAACAATGGAGATAGGGGCCACCTTGATATATTTTAAAACCGAAATACTAGTGATAAGTTCTCAAGAAATATTATCATTACAGACTACTAGTTATGAACTATCATGAACAAATGAAATATGATTTGATAAATTATTATTTGAAATAAATAAGCAGAAATATATATGAAAAATGTAGAACATTTAAAAGTTCTAATAATATTTTTAAATTTACGAGCACTACAGTGTCAGAACAAATGACACACCAGTTCAAAACATAAAGAATAAAGGCATAGTTATCCTCCTCAATAAGTGTTCATTGGATCTGATGTTACTATTGATAGAGGAATCCAAAAAAGGTAGACTAAAGGTTCAACAAGAGATCACTGAAATAAAACAAATCGACTTACAAACAATGAAGCCACTGAACAAGTAAAAAATTGGGAAGTCCAATTACAGAATGAGCTCTCCGAATTTAAAGAAAAAAGTTAAGAAACAGAATGTGGATAAATTCAGGAGAGATGAAAAAGATTATAAAGATGGAAGGGTTTACACCTGGAAAAGATTGGTACCTAATAGGTAGAGGACTTCCCTCCAGAAGAACACAGCGTACCAAATGTTCAGTCTCCTTTAATTTGACTAGTAGGTGATTACCTTTCTGACAGTAGAGCTGATTTGAGTAGTTTTTTTACAGTCACAACCAAAACCAACAATGGACAGTTTAAAAAAGAAGAGGAAGACCAGGAGAGGGTGAAAGAAGACAGCTAAACAATCAGTGGCATCCAAGCACATGCAGTTTTATCAAACATACACTGTATTAAATCTCTCAAGTTTCCCTTTAATGAATGATGCCATACAAGTTTTGTCAAAAGGACTATCGTTTGCTCCGACACACCTAATGGAATTTAGAACCAAAATAGACTTCTTCTTTTTTTTTTCTTTTCCCCCCATAAAAATTTACAGTTAAGAGCACGGTATGGACAAACAACACATACTATACCAGCTATGGTGTCCGGACAGGATCAGGAATCTTCAAGGAATGTCTTTTTGCCTCCAATACAAAATTCAGCTATCAACTAACAGTCACAGTTTTATCACCAATGACTAGATTATGTAACCGCACTCTGGTGGAGCAGCAGGACCAAACCTCTCCCCCCACACTTGACTAGGAGGGAGTAAACGATCCTGTCTCCCTAACCCCTTATTTAAGATAAAACAATATTATAAGCATGAGCGTGCAATTGGTTCAGCGCTTGCCTTTGTTTGTCGCAGTTATGTAGTATACAACAGAAATACAAATTCAAAACATGTAACATCACAAAAAATAGCACAGTTGATCTTCAGCCCAGACACCTTGCGCATCGTAGAGGGCCACCCTTGGGCTGAGGTTAGGCTAGTACTTACACCCAGGCTATGGTTCATCTTTATACCTCTTTTTTGTCCTCCGTTGAGGTACTAGAGTCTCCATCATTTGTCAATGTTTGTGACTCCCAGTTGTGTGTATAAGGCCAGTCCTGTTAATGTACATTTTGGTTACTTTTCAAAATCAATTTCTCATCATCTTGCCATCTTAGCATTTCCATTTGCCTAACTGTGGCTTTGACAACTAGTGACCTCAGTATAGGAAATACACAGCAAAACAGTAATCCTCCTACCAATACTGCAACTCCTAAAAACTTTCCTAATTTAGCCAAACATGCTCCCCATGTTCCTAACTTTAGATCAAACCAATCCCAGATTTGATTATCTTGTCCAGCATTTGCTTTGTTCAATCCTTAGGTTTTTTTATTTGATCATTACTTCACTAAATACTCCACCTGGAGCAGTATTATTTGGTATATACAAGTACAACATTGATCCTCAAACATAACATACTCCTTTTTCAGCTAGCAAAAAATCCAAAACTATTCTATTTTGCCATGTCATTCTGCTCGTTGCATCCAATTACTCTCCTAACAGTGGATAAGGCCTCATCAGTGTAATTAATGCAGGGTCTTTTTCATAGGCTCTTTTGGATCTGGATTTTTCTTCATCTGTTGCTTCCTCTTCTAGAGAGATGTGACACGTTTTATGTGTCAGCATAACCCTAGTACATAATCCTGACCAATTTTCTGGTAATGTTGGCAAGAGGCCATATTCTGATCCGCACATCCACCATATGTCTGCCAATGCAATACTGATGTCATCAAATATAGGTGGTGGGGCTTCTTTTATCACCAAATAGTCTTTACATTATGGTATTTTCCATATTTTGCTGTATTTTCCTTCAAATCTTTCTACGTTATTATTTCCCTTCTTTTTATAACATAATAACATTCATAAATATAAATGTATAACATTCATTTTATATTGCCCATTTTCTTATAAGTAATATTATGATTGTCATCTACAATGTCTATTTTGTCTAGATATTTTAGTCAAAGCCACTGCTAGATACATCCGAGGGTTGAAAAGTCGATTCTAGGGAAGTCTGGGTGCTGTTGGTTATAGCTTGAGCTTGCAGAATTAGATGCATTAGGCATGTGATCATCAGATATGTTGTCAGATTCTTTCTCCTCTCCGGTTTGTCTGACAGGAGAATGAGAGTTCCTTGTGCATCTTTTTTGAGCTATCATCAGTTTGCACTTCATCTTGTGTCACTGGTCTCTCCTCGTCACTTTCTCCTGAGTTGTCTGCTTGTCTGTTTCTTTCTCTTACCATCCTTACTTTGGGAACTCTGGTGCAGTGGTTTAGGTGATACCAGGTTGCACTTCCCTCCTCTTGGACTGCTGTTGGTGTAGCTCTCACCACTTTGTAGGGTCCCTCTCTCCTGGGCTCATTCCACTTTCTCCGGAATACCCTCAGATATACTTGGTCACCTGGAACAATTGGACATGACGTCTCTGTTTCCTCACAGGGCTCTTTTCTTGTTTCCTGCAAATAGATAGCTTTATGTATTGCTGTTAATTTCTTCATATAAGATCAAAATTCCATTTGCAATTGCTCTAGAGGGGGTCCTTTGTAGGGACCGCAACAATATGGCACAGGCATGGGTCGACCCGTAAGCATTTCATGCGGTGTTAAGTGCATGTTTCTGTTAGTTTGCATGCGATAGCTCATTAGTGCAAGAGGTAATGCATCAATCCAGTTAAGTTTAGTACTTTCACATATTTTGTTTAGTTTGGCCTTGAGGGTTCCATTTAATCTCTCTACCATCCCTTGTGATTGTGGCTGGTAAATACACCCTAGTCTCTGCTTTATTCTCAATTGTTGCAATACTTGTTTTACAGGTTGTTGTGTTGTTTTTTTTGTGAATGCTGATCAGGGGTGTGAAGTAACGAATTACAAATACTCACGTTACAGTAATTAATTAGTTTTTATCAGTAATTGTACTTTTTTGAGTAGTTTAAAAATTGTGTACTTTTACTTTTACTTGAGTACATTTTAAGTGATGTATCGGCACTTTTACTCTGCTGTTTTCCTCCGTTTGTGGTCGTTACATGCTTATTTTAATTTAATTTTTATCCATCAACGTGATTGGATAGAGTAATAGGTCTCGTGACTTCAAGTCAAATCAAATTGTGCATAGAAAACTTTAACCGCCAACTGTTTACCATGGCTGCTGGAAGCGCATTCTTCAAGCATCAATTCAGTCGCATCTAACTAAATATGTTAAGGTAAATTTCGGATTTCTGCTTACTAAATGATTTGTATATATGCTTGCCTATCTACACGGGCTGAAATTTGGTATGAGGTTGCGGGTATTGCATACAGTGTTAACTCCCGCAAGTGCCGCATTCGGTAAATTCCCACTCACTTATGAGACGCGCGATCTGCGCTGCCTCGTCTCGCTCTCGCGTGCGTTCTGCAGCAGTCACTTGGATAAGTCATTGTTGCTTGTTGAACTTGTTGACTTTTGATGAGTTTGAGCACGCGATGCGCGCTGTGAAAACGTTTTTTTTTTTATCCATTTTATACTATCCACCTTAATTTAGCAAGTGCACTTGCGCATAAACAATTTTCAAGTTCAACACTTTTTGTTCCGTTCAGTTGTGGATGCTGCTGATTCACAGAGACCGCCGCGGCTCAGCAAAGAGACATAATAATGGTGTATTTGCGCTGTTCTAAACATTAAAGGGGTCATATGATGTTGCTAAAAAGAACATTATTTTGTGTATTTTGTGTAATGAAATGTGTTTATGCGGTTTAAGGTTAAAAAAAACACATTATTTTCCACATACTATACATTATTGTTTCTCCTCTATGCACCGCCTTTCTGAAACGCGTCGATTTGTAAAAGCGAGGTGTGCTCTGATTGGCCAGCTATCCAGTGCGTTGTGATTGGCCGAATACCTCAAGCGTGAGACGGAAATGTTACGCCCCTCACCATACTGTGATGATGCCCTGTCTGGCCGGAGCGACAAGACAAAAACATGAAAACCGATTATAAACTAGGCATTTGTTGCATCCAGTGGGGACATAATTATGGATTATAATGACTTATACTGTCTTTTTACGAGTTGCGTTGCATCGTGCTGCGTAAACATAAAACCATGTCTGCATTTGTGATCGGAGAAATGACAAACAAGTCCTACTCTACACTGCCCAAAAAACTCGCTTTAAATATGTAAAATATAAAAACGCTGTAAATATATAAAACATACTTGCAGTCTGT